CCGCTGGTCAGTTTCAGCAGCGGCTGAATCTGGATGCCAGTTCCGACTTACATACAGATTCAACTTAAGAACAAACCTACAGTCCCTATCTTGTATGTAACCCGGGGACTGCCTATACAGGATCGGTCGGAAAAGGCTTTCCTTGTCGACCGATCCCCATCTAGACTGATGCTTTTTGCTGGCAAATTGATGTGTTGGCAAAAAGCAGTGGCCATTTTTATTCTAATGAAGCGCGGGATATTTAAATCCCCACTTCATTAGCAGTTTCAGTATGTCTAATTTACATCCCTCTGGCAACAGAGGAATGTAGTCTAGACATACCCTTAAAGCATCTTGGCTTTATTTCAAGCAGAAGCTTCCACTTATAGTCTCTTTCCTTTAAGATTTCAGAGAACAAAGGCCAAGTCTAAAGCAGCCTCTCCATTAACATAACTTGCTATCTAGAATTTTTTACCATAACTTAAGTTTTGGTCTCTACCTACAGGAGTTGTGCCTTTCTGGAATTCATTAGAAGTAGGGTGAGACCTCAGGAGAAGTTTTCAATAGAGGAAATTCTCTGTAACTGAATTCACTATGAGAAATTCTCTGGTCATATAATACATCTGCTTAAAATTAGTTGCTTCTCCAGTTTAAATGATGCAGCAGCATGCTTTTTAGCAACAGCTTGTGCAAACTTAGAACTGTGTCTCCTTGATGTTTGTTCCTGTTTCAAAGTGGCACACTGAAAAATGAACATGAATGTATTGGCTTTTGTAAAGATTAAAAATAAAATCATGTTGGTGACATTCAATTTACATGATGAATAATGAAAAAAATGTTAGTGCATGCAGGCCAAAACCACAAATGATCCAAACACTTCCTTTCTCTGAACAGATTCTTAAATCCTGTTGCTGCAGACTATAGTTCTCACTATAGCAACAGAACAGATTGTGAATGTGTCAGAAGAGAGTCTGTTGGATCCCAAGTATCTTTATTATTGGTTGCCCTTCCTTGTAAGATTAAATAATTCCCTGGCCAAACCAAGGTAATTATGATAAAGCGCTGAATGTTTTTTTTCCTGACTGTTCTGCAAAATAACACCGTTTCTTTTCTGTTTTTTCTATCAAAAAGTTTAAAAACTTATCTCCATTCTATTTGCCTTTTCTAGTAATTCTGTAGAAAAGAAAACTGGGAAGGTGAGTAACTACATCGTAAGAGTAGGATATGATGGAAACATCCTTCAAAGTATTAAAAGGGGTTACCTGAAGGAAGCTAGTCTGGTGGAGGTAATGATAAAGGAAGGTTGGGAGACCAAATTCTGGCCTTTGCCTTTGATTCCCTTCCCCACATTTTATATTATTATTATTTTATTATTATTATTTATTAGTAAATTGGGGCTGGGGGCAGCATGTGTGTTTATATTTTTATGCTATGAGCTACAGTTGAACTTTAAAACTGCTGCAGATTTTGTTTAATAAGCTACAAGACATCTTGGAGTAATAATGTAGATGGAAGTTTAAAAATTCAAGACTGTATTAAAAAAACCCTGAGACTCTTTGGATAGGTTGGAACAAACTGGTTGCAAAAAACTCACAGATTGTATGAATATATCATGAAAGTAATCAGTACAATAGAGCTGCTTACAGCTACTGCCTTGCCTAGTACAGAACAATCTCCAGTAACTGACTAATTACCTTTACTGCTGTAACCTGCTGTTGCTGAGACATTTTTTTCTGTGGTCTATAAGGAACACATGATTCATGCATAAAACAAAAGTGTGAGGGGATGGGCATACTTCCAGAACATTTTTATTTCTTTAGGTAATTAGAGATATATTAACACAAGGCTGTTGGCAAGTAAACAAATGGAAGGTGATGTGCATATTAATAGGCCCTTGAAATAGCATTTCTGTTTTCCAGAGGAAGCAGGGACTCTTTTTCCATCTCTCTCTCTCTCTCTCTCTCTCTCTCTCTTTTTTTTTTTATTATCCAGTCTCATTTGGAGGTATTTGTCTGTGCTATTCTCCATTCTTATTACAAAAGGTCCCAGAGAGCTAATTTATGTTTATAACCACATACTTTCTACAATAAAATTGCTTGTAATAGTCCTCTTGGTGATGGGGAGGGAATCCTAGCAGTAAATAGAACAGGAGTCCTGTTTTCTTACTTACCTAAATCCTAACACATGAATTTCTTTGAATCCTGGAAGTTTCTCAAATATCTTTTGCATCTATAGAAAAGTAAAAACTCATTAAAGCCATGTCTGCTGTTAGACACTTTACCTAAATGCGAACACCTGCTGTGAATGGGAAACTTTTTGAATGCTTGAAATACAACATTTAGGATTTTAGAAAATGCTTAGGAAATTGTAGCATATAATTTTTTCTTGATGTCATTGTTCAATTTATACATGACTTGGCTTTGTAAATGTTGTCTGTACTACCTGATGAGCAGAAAGCAATATAAAATGCAGCTTTTTCAGTGAGAGTAATTATGTAAATTAGTGGTAGCCTACTTCATAATAGAGTAAGTAAAATATTCATTGAACCAAATATTTGCTTCATTTTGTCTGTTTTTTATTCATGAAACATTTGCAAAACAACCTGTTAGCTGTGCATTATTAATTATTCAAAAGTATGCATTGAGTTTAGCAGCTTGTGAGTTGTTTGCAAAGTGCTTGTGAACTGATACCTTTGACTATTTTCTATTCATTGTGTTTGGGTGGTCACAGAGTATACCTTCTGCTCCCGAAAAGGAAAAGTGGACCTCTTTAATTTAAGAATAAGAAGTAATGAGTAGCAAATAATAGATTAAAAACATGTATGATACACATTTGTCAAGCTGTAGAGGTTTATAAGCATCTTCATGAATATCTGATGGTCAGAAATAACAATCACCACAAATCACAGTGAATTGAATGAATGAATGAACGAATGAATGAATGAATGAATGCCTTAACAATTTTGTGTTTGCTTGTTTATGGTAACATTTGCACACTACATTAAATGGTATCTTGTGTGTACATATATTATGTAAATTAGATAAACTCCTGGTTTAAACACACATTTTCACAGAATGATCTGATTAACATTATAGTTCTGTAAAAGACTGAGGACATCACCCTGGGTGTTGAGTGCTCTTATCCTGCTAATGAAACTCTTGGGAGTTCAAGGAACCCAGAACAACAAAGCCAGTGAACTGCACATTAAGGAATAAGCTCCTAATACATTAGCACATCATTTACAAGCTGCATGAATTAATGTAATCATTAAGTCTTTTCTATCTTCTCTTTGTATGATTCTGCATAAATCCTGCTTACATTACACCACTCTTCCCATTAATGGGTGGGAAGGAATTGGACTCTGAGAAGTGAGGAATAAAACACTCTTATGGGTCCTGTTTTGTGTACGTGTGGACGCAGGCACGCCCTCCTTATCTATGACACTCCTCTTGTTGATTTTCTTCACTTCTCTCATTGCCTTCAAAATAAGTGACTGGTAGGTAGGTGACCTTAAAAGATTCAACTTTGTATTTAGGTTCTCACTTGTTGCCCACTCTTCCCTTCTTGAATGTCCCTTGGCTAATTGCTGTGATTTGTCAATTGCTGCCAGGTTTCTTGTTTGTCCCTTAGTTCCCCCAGCACCCTGGTGATGTTATGAAGGATTTTTCTCTCATTGAAGAAATGGCACAGTGCCATGTAGTTTCACATCTTCCCCCAAGCACATAGGAGATCTGGCCTAAGATTCTTTTTCTAGACTTGACAAATTTCCACAAGTTTTGTAGGCATCCACAGCAAGTAAAGGAAGGTGGCCGGTGTTCCATCCCAGTCCGAGCTGGCTATGTGGCATTTGTCTTTCTCTGAATTACTGGGTGAATAAAAATTTTCATATATAATGCAGCTATGGCACCTCTTGTCTAGAACTTATCCCTCACATGAGGAGAGCTCTAGGGATCACCTCCATCTTAATCTTGGATAGTTTTAATGTGGAGGCTGGAGTGCTAGGTGTAGCCTAATTCTAGTGATTATCAAATTGCCATGGAGATATGGCCTAATATAAAGCATTGGACTTGCCCTGTTGGTTACTTGTTCTTAGGGGACTCTTTGCAGTCCTTCCTTGGTTCTATGTTATAATGAATGAAATCACAGCATTGTTTCAATTGTGTGTGACACATCTTGTTTCCTGCTTCTCCATGCTAAATTTAGTTTGTCTCCATAAACAGACATGTGTTAACTTCATTAGCATCCAATTTTATGCAAATCTGTTAGTGTTCATATTTGTGCCACAAAAGCCTACAGTGACTTAAATCGCTCTTTCTGTGTTTTGAGGTGAATTATGAGCCCATGGATGTTTGGGTTCCAATAGTCCTCTCCCTAATAAGAGCTAAATTAGAATTTGTGGATGAGGTCTCAAAGCTGGTTGAGTTCGCACTGGTGGTTCTAACCTGCTTACTCTCACTCCACTAATGCACTTCTAATTCTTTCTGGTGATCAGATCGCCGTTTGCCTCCTCAGTGGACTATCTTTGGAGGAAGGGTTGCTAGCTGTCCTATGTAGTGCCAGCATGTGAACTGTTTAACTGTTCAGTACTGAATGTTAGAAACATAGCTTCAGACTCTTTACAAAGGTTTTCACACAAAAAAGAAGATACTTTAATTATCAAAACCCCTTTTCTCTTTTTCTTTTATATGAAAAGAAACTCCTAAAAAAGCAACCAGAAGACACAGCTAATTTATAAGTTGTCAGAACAGTATATGTACTGTAAAGAAAAGTCTGCGAGCAACCTTTAATAATGAGATACACCTAAATATTTTGGAAGAAACAGCTATTTATTAACTCTGTCAATACACTTTGTAGTTTTGTTGTGAGCGTCTACAATTCATTAATGAGTATAGCTAAGGAGAACGCACAAAGGAACTCTGGAGAAATTGGCACTAACTTTTAGTTAATTTTACAAAGCAAGCTTCCTGGAGATCTCCATACCACCACATGCTAACTATAAAATTGCTAATTAAAGATGTGATTAGCATTATTAATGATGTAAATACACCACTGTTGCTCTAGATCACAATAAAAAAACCAGAAGAGGCTGTATGCTTTCAGTCCCGTGGCTGCTTGCTCTGAAACGTAGTTCAGACAACAGTAGCTAATTTCTTTCAACATTTGTATTAAATTGCTCATTAAATTTATTGTGGAAATTAAATTACTACAAAGCGCTGTCCATTAATTCCTGATTAGGCCCTAATGACTTCCTAATGTTGAAGTGGGACTAATGCTCTGCTGATTGGTTATCTGCAGCTATGCTGCAGAAAAGATGCTAGAATTCTTGTAGACTGAAACATGAACAGTTATTTCAAGCAAGAGATGGCTGTGCTTGCAGGAAAATGCAACAGGCAGGGACAATTGGACAAATGGGACAACCTACACACGGTTGAGTACCTGCCACCACGTGTGTACTAGTATATGCTTAATTCTTGCCACAGCTCATATGAACTACTGAATAATACCAATATGCCATCTTACTAAATCTTTGATAGTAATAAGCTTGTAATGTGGCAAGGAAGTAAAACCTCCTGTAGCAGTCTTTTCCTCAACAGTTCTTGTTACACTAATTTGATATTGGCCTGAAATATAGGAAGCATTTTGTGTGTGATTCAGGGACCATGAGGTACAGTAGAGACTATTGAATTCTTCCCTTAATATCCCATGGTAATCTGGCAGCAATTCCATGGAAACCTGTATTACAGTAGGATATTACTGTTCTTTAATAAGAATGTTCTCTGTAATATAGTTATGTGGTAAGAGAAAACCTTTGAGAGATCTTCATTGTATGTGATGCTTTGTTTTTTAATGTCAATGTGTTGCAGTTGTTTTTTGGTATAAACAAATACAAGACTCATTCTTTAGCAACCCGCTTACCTGATGTTGAATTTTTGCTGCTAGCTCCTGGAACTGTGGGGAATTGGGATCGCTCAGCTCTGGTGTGTACTCGTGATTGATGAGAGTGACACTGAACTCCACCATCTGCTCCCCTGGGAGTTCAGGGACTGTATTAGTGACTTCTGGCTCCAGCCCCTGAAACAAAAGAAGAGGAAATGAGCTTTGTGGGGAGGGGAAAATAGGATGACAAAGTAATTTCTTCAAGCAGTTTAGTACCTTTAATGGGTACAAAGATTCTCTTACTCTTTCTACAGTAGAGGTTTCTCATGTGAAAAAAAATGATTTCTAATTATTCTTTTAAAATTATGCATTTTGGCACAGAGTTGTCCAATATGTTTAATCCACAAAATACTTTCAGGGAGAATAACAGAATAAGAAAGAACAAAAGTAATGTCTGCATCAGAGCGTATGCTATGCTTCTCCTATGAAAGAGGCTCAAAATGACAGCTGCCTCTAGTCTGGGGAAGGAGTTTACCTATTTAAAACAACAACAACAACAAAAGAGTCTTAGTACTGTGCCTGATTCTTCCGCCATTTACAAAGTTATTTCTTCTATGCATCTTAAGGGAGTTACTTCTGGTTTACGCCATAGTGTGTGATATGAGTGTCAGGCCCACACAGTGAATGGTGTTATAAAATCCCATCATTATTAGTGTGCAGCATAGATCTGTACCTTCCCTTATTCTTCTCCCCGTTTTTTGGCAATTTATCTGACATCCGCATAAAGATCACATAAAGCTTTTTACAGAAACAAGATAGGTTTGAACCTTGGTGTGTCTCAGCTTGCAGATACAGTTGATTTTGGCATGTCATACAAACATTCTGCTTTTGTTTACTGTGGTATAACTTTATTCACTATTAAGTTCAAAGGCAACACTGATTTTATTGCAACTGTAGCAATTTTGGGATTGTTTTACCTGTTTTAATGAAAATTTGGTGAAAGGCACCTCTTTATGAATTTTTGCTCATTCAAAATGTCCATCTCCTATAACTACAAAT